CTCAGTCTGCACCTTGTTACCCTACAATGTTTCATGTTTATAAAGATAGGAGACTCCAGCTGTTCCGGCCTGACAGAACTTAATTTACATTTGGCCTTAATTAAGATGAGAGTCAGAATCATTGAGACCAAATGGAAAAGCCAGACTGCTGGGGGTTATGAAAGATTCAAATGGCATTTTCTTCCTTTTATCTGACAATTCTTATTAAGGAGACCTATGTCAACTCAAAACACATAAACCTTAAATATAAAGGACATGATTAAAATTCCGTATTGCAGGACTAGGACCCAAATGACTATGCCCAAGGGCTCTGGCGATCTTAGTACATCACTTCTGTCTTCTAGGGAGTCTGAATTCCAAATTTTGCCCAACTCCCTCTGACATCTGATTCCAGGCTAAGGATAAGGAGCACATGAATGACAGCAATACCGAAGTGAGCCTTCAGCTCTGACTCCTCCATCTAGCTCACCTCTCACAGCCAATGAGTCTCAATGTCCTGCTTGCAGTATCCATTAAAGATTTCTAGAATCCATTTCGTCTCCATCCGACAATGCCTAATTCAAATCTAATTACGTCTCACCTGGAGTACTGCAACAGCCCCTTACCGGGCCACTGTCTTCAAAAAATATTTATTGAGTACCTGCTAAGTGCCAGACATTTGATTAGGGGTAAGAACACAGCAATGAACACAATGAATATGATCTCCATCCTGCATGGATTACAATAGTTGGAGGCGCCAAGCATTATACAAATCATCATACAAACTGACATATGATTACAATTTATTAAAAATACAATGCAGTAAAGTTAAGAGTGCAATGACAAGAGACTTCTGATTTATCTGAGGGTCAGGGAAAGCTTTTTTAAGGAGTTGACAATACAGCTGAGACCTAAATGTTGAATTAGAATCAGTGGTGAATAGAGGAAAGAATACTCAGGGCAGAAGGCACAGCATCACATTGTTAGGATGGGGTCAGCAAACTTTTGCTTTAATGGTTTAAGAGAGTAAATATTTTTAGCTTTGCAAGCCATATAGTCTCTGTCTCAACTATTCAGCTGTCACTGTAATGCAAAAGCAGCCATAGACAATACATAAATGAATGAGCCTGGCTGTGTTCCAAGAGAACTTTATTTATGGCCACTAAAATTTTAATTTCATATAATTTTTACAGATCACAAAATATTATCCTTCTTTTAATTCTTTTTCAACCATTTGAAAATGTAAAACCCATTCTTAACTTCCAGGACATCCAAAAACAGGCAGCAGGCAAGATTTGGCCCATGAGCTGCAGTGTGCCAAGCACTAGTCAAGACTCTGAGGTGGCAAAGAACTGAGTGTGTTTGAGGCACCCTGAGGGGATCCCTGTGGATGGATGAGAGTGAGCAACATGCCAGAAACACAGGAAGTAGACAGGAGGGGGCAACCTTCTGGGTCACGTTACAAATTTTGGAACTTATCATAAGAGCCAAGCAAAGGCAAAGGGCTATAACCAGGGAAGAAAACAAGTTTTTACTCCCACAGGCATACATATTCTCATCTCTAAACCAATCTCCTCAGCCCTGCCAAAGGGAACTAAGACATTCCCTCCCTTGCTTAAAAATCATCAACCAATCTCTATTACCAAATATGCCCTTAACAAACCGAGGCCTCATTTCCTACTACACTTAGGGAAATACCCCAGACTCATGTCCTGGGACTTACTTTATCAAAAATGAACCATGGTCTCTCTCTAGAACATCCTTCCTGTCTTCTTTATTAGAATAAGACCCTCTACTCATGTCTTGAGTCTCATCTCAAATAACTCCTCTGGGAAGCAAATCATTTTCTCAGAAAGCACTCTGCATATTCCCGTATCACTGTGCTTAGTACATATTCTGATGGCTCTGTTTTCATGTCTCTCTCCTCCACCCATACCCTCCTTAGGCTCCCCCACCACTGTCCCCAGTGGACTCTGTGCCCCTCCAAGGTAAGAAAGACTGAGTCTTCTTTGTGCCCATATCCCCAGTGCCTATCATACTGCTGGTTCACAGCAGGACTTCAGTCAAAATTTAGCAAATTAAAGAGTAACTAGAATAAACAAATGGCAGCCCAAATGAACCAAGCACACAGCCTCATGTTCTGACACTGAATGTGTAGTTGAATAGCTCTACAGAAGCTATCTAACTTCCCTGTGCCTCAGTTTCCCATACCTCCATTAAAAAGGAGATACTGTTTACTGATTCTCTATAAATGGATGTTTTTCAGTATTTAAGCACAGAGCCTTTAGCATTGAAAGTGGTTTCAGTAAGTGTGCTGGAGAGCAACATCAGCAACACCTGGAAGCTTGTTAGAAATGCAAATTTTCAGACCCTACCCCAGGGCTACTAAATCAGAATATGCAGTTTAACAAGATCTCCAAGTGATTCGTTTACACATGAAAGTTTGAGAGACATTATAAGCCAGCCTGGTCAGGCTTGAAGGAGATGCTAAAACTGATTTTAGAAATAGCTTCGATTTTCAATTTGCAATCATAGCAAAACCAAAGGGATTCTCAGCAAGGATTCCTGTGCATGCTTACCAAAAAGTAATAATAAATCAAAACAATTTTCAAACGGATTTAAGGCTCAATCTTCCGATAGTTAAGTACACAATAAGCCAATGTTTAAAGCCTTACTCAGAAAATTCTGAAATAGAATTGATTAAATGAATGGATGGATGGATTGATGGTTGGTTGGTTGGATGGTCTTAGAAGGTCACAATGAGTGCCATGCAATCTAGAGCTTTCTTTTATATGGCCTCTATCTATTGCATTTTGATCGCAAGTACACCATAGAAAGTATACTGAAAGGTTCATATCGAATGTACATTTAGATCTGGATATACAGCCCAGAGCTGGCCACGAAGTAGGTGTTCAATAAGGTCCTGATGGTGCACCAGTAACCACCTGCCTGACCCTGCTAGCTTAATTCAGTATAGCTCTTTCTTATTTATGGCTAAGAAGGGAGATATATTCAACTTGTTTCTTCTCTTGCACCATGTTTAGTCTGGTTTGAAGAACACCACTGCCCTAGTTCCTGGTCTAACCCAAGTGGCACCCATTACGGAGGGATTTTAGTACTGCGTGGCAAGATTAGATGAGCTGGGTTTGGAGGCCAATAGACATGGTTTAAATTCTGGCTCTACCACCTGCCTAGGAAAGCCATTTAACCCTCTTTCAGCCTCAGTCTCCTATACTCTCTACCAGGCAGGGCTTGTTAGGATTAAATCAATTAATGCCCTTAGAACACACAGCAGAGTGTAGGGCAGTGAAGAGCAGTTCCATATTCCTATTTGTTTTGCAGCATACATTTAGATCAGGTTTTCAAATATTAAAAGTGGAAAAAAGTGAGGTCTCGGGTTTGAATTGCTTTGCCCAAAGTCACACAATGTGATATTGGTGGAGACAAAATCAGAATGCTGAAACCGACTTCTAAGACACTGTGTTTTCAAACTCTTAGCAACTATAGAAGGCTTTCTGCAAATTAAAATTCACAAAGTAGCTAAATACACAAAAGCTATAACTTGATGCCCTTTTTGCTTATCTCCCTTCTGCCCCTTCTGACAATCCAAGAACACCTTCTCAGCACCCTTAAACTCCCCCATTTCCACGTATATTTTGAGTAATTGAAAATACAGTCCACCTGAAACCTCAGAGCTAGTACATGAATAATGCCAGGTCTTACTCATTAGATGGATTCTCTCCTCACCAGACCACCTAGGGTTTTCAAGTCCCTGAGATTCCCAGAAGACTTGAACTTTCTCACACATCCATCTATAATGAGAACCATTAAGCTGACATCACCACTCTCCACACTTCATAAAGGATCCTAACATCTGGAAATGGGAACTACCTGCAAGTGCTTTGACCAAAGATCACCATATCACTCAAGGACAGAGAAACTCAAGTTCAGGCAAGATGAGAAAGGACTATCCTAAAATGCCAACAAGGCCAGAGATTAATCATTTGGGGCTAAAAGTGTATAGAGAAATAAGGTTCTGGTCAGAAGATTTGGACTTAAATACCAGCTCTGCCACTTTCTAGTTGGAATGCTAATTAACCTCTCTGAACTTCAGTAAAGTATTGAATATTAACAGAATTGACTTCAGAGTCAGTGAGTCTTAGGTTCAAATCCTGGCTATATCACATACTTACTGTGTTACTTTGGGTGAGCTGATTAATCTCTATCAGCTTTAGTTTTCTTGTCTATAAAAGACAGCCCCCCTGCCCCAAAAGGAAAGAAGGAAAGAAGGAAGAGAGGGAGGGAGGGAGAAGGAGAGGGAGAGGGAGGGAGAGAGAGAGAGAGAGAGAAGAAGAAGAAGAAGAAGAAGGAGGAGGAGGAGGAGGAGGAGGAGGAGGAGGAGAGAAAAACAAACAAACAAACAAACAAACAAACCTGACTTCACAGGGCTGCTGTTTGGATCTAAGGAACAATCTGTGTCACATATTTATCACAATGCCTTGCATGAGTTAAGCATATAAAAACAAGAATGATTTAACTGCAATATAAACAATAAAATGAGATCAACCTTCCTCAGAGAGTTGCTGGGAAAACCAAACATAACAGACTTAAGCAGGGTGCCTGGTACAGACAAATCCCCAATAAATGGAATCCTCTACTATCATAGTTGACCCTTGAACAACACAGGTTTGAACTAAGTGGATCCATTTATATGTGGATCTTTTCAATACATACTTATAGTACCATATATGTTTTTTCTCTTCTTTATGATTTTCAAATTAAGATTTTCCTTTCTCTAGCTTACTTTATCATAAGAATAAAGTATATAGCACACATAACATACAAAATATGTGTTAATCCACTATTTACATTATCGGTAAGGCTTCCAGTCAACAGTAGGCTATTAGTAGTTTTCAGGGAATCAAAAGTTATACATCTGCGTGGGGTGTCAGCACCCCTAACCTCACCGTTTTTCAAGGGTCGACTGTACTAGTATCCCCTCTTCAACCCTATGCACTCACCTCCTTTAGCCACAGGAGCTTCGGGGCCTGCATTTCCACAGACATCACACCCCCGACATACTGCAGGACACTATGCTTGGTTTCGTTGATCCTGTGGACCTGACTGACTGCTCGGTGGTCCAGCCACATGATGATGTTTCGATGGGAATCTCCTAGCAGAAACAGGGAGATGAAGATACATGTGCATTATTATCCTTCCAATTCAAGGGCAATTATGCATTCTCCAGGGCAAAGAGCTGCACAACTTCTATAATTTCACCCAACAATAATGAACAAGTGAAAGGAATACCATCAAGGCTGATTATAACACTCTAATCCAAACTTTAGATTTCCTTTCAAGAGGTATGTTCTTTAACTATAACCCCAGGTTTAAACTAAAACCAGTCAAGATCTTCCAAATAATTCTATCGTCATTCACTCTCTCCCAACTTCTTCCTCTCCTACTCCTTCTAAACTAGAAAAGCTTTTCTGGGTATATATTCAGGAAAAGAGCCTATGAAATAAGCCTAAAACAATAGTTTGGCTTTTTAAGATCTGTCCCCTTTAAATATGGACAAATATTTCAACAGTATAATATATTTAATATAATACATCTAATACATCTGCACAATGGCTTTTATCTGCTTATATTCCCAAATCTTCTAGTCACTTTAATTAAAATCAGTTAAGTTTTTTTCCCTTACTCAGTTACTTTGGTGGCATAGGAAGAATACACGTTTTGGAATCGAGCAGACCCAATGGGAAATACTGACTCTTTCAGTTATAAGCAGAGATATATTGAGAAAGTTATTAAACTTTTCTCAACCTCAGTTGTCCTCATCTATAGAATAGGGACAATACCTAATAGCATATAGGGATTAATAATGGGCATAAAGGATATGGCAAGTACCTATCACATAATAGGCCCTCAGGGGGAGTAAATCATAAGGAACAGAAACTAACTGGAAAAGGGGCATGGGCACCTTCACATCCTACCTCTACCATTCTGCAGCCCACATAGCACCTGACTATCCCTTCTCCCTTCCTTAGCCTCTGTTAATTGATCATGTACTGACAGAAAAGCCAATACTCTAGACAGCCCTCTGCTTCCTCAGATGGCAAAATGCAGGGAAAAGCAATGAATATACCTGAGATTATAAGAAGAAAAGATCAAAGGGGACCCAACAGTAATTGAACCAGGCACTTTCACACATTATTTTATTTAATGGCAAAATAACAGCACCAACTATATAACTTTGCTAATAGCAAATGTTTATAAAGTTCTTTGTGTCTGTGTGTGTCCCAAGCCCTGTGATAAACATTTTACATACATCATCTAAATTCTCAAAACAATACTTTGATCTAGGTTACTTGCAGTGACAAACTGACTCTGAGGTTGAAGACAGGCCTACTTTCTCATAGCTAGGGAAAGCATGAAGTGTGCTCTGAAAACAGATCTGTGCAGAGGACAGATAAATAAAGTGATAAAACAAACTAGAGCTACACATATCAACATGAGTAGTGACACCAGCTGGGACATTTTTAAACACAATACATATTGTTTGTTGCAGGTATATACATATGTGGTAAAAGCACAGAACACCAACTGCAGCATAATGGTCACCAGCTGGGCAGAGGGGCGGGGATGGGTAGAAGGACTAGGCTGAAGCTTCAAGTAGTTCTTTAAAAAGAAAAGGCACTTGAGGCAAATATGGCTAAATTTCACCTGTTTATCCTTAGTAGTGGATACACTGAAGACTATTACTTTACGTCCCGTATGTTTGAAAAAAATTTTTTTAAACTTAAAAGAAAAAAAGTCAACCTATGAAAATATCTCAATTAGGTCATCATCATCATCATAAGGCCAGGGCTCAGTCACTGGTTTGCCTACCTGGAGAGATTTCGGTCCCATAAAAGTTCCTCAAAAAACAGTAATTATTTGAAAATAAGAAAGTACATGAGATCTTCCCATAGGCACAAATCAGATCTGTTTTTCACAGCTGAGTGATTCTACTGTATAAGCTCTGGTTCTCAACCCAGGTTCACATTAGAAACCTTGAAAAGCTTTAAAAATACTGATGTCCATGTCCCATTCCAGAACTGTCATCAACTCAGAATGTGGGTATGTGGGCACACACACATGCACATGTGCGTGGGTGTGTGGATTTTGAGGAGAACAATATCAGTGTTGCTTCTTAAATATAGTATTGAATGTATCTGCAGCTGCTTCAAGACAAAAACGGCTGTTACTAAACTTCTAACTGTAAAGACAGACCAATCAGCTACTACTGCCTCTAATGAAAGGCTCTCAAGATGCAGTCAGAACAATGCAATAAGTGTGCAGAATCGAGTACTTTATCATATTTATTATAACAATTAATTAATAATTTTAACTTTAGACAAAAACTGAGAAATTAATCTTTATTCAGTTCTTATAGAAAACCACAAATGATTCCACTGAAAGTTCATTTAATCTTTTATTGAGTATCTACTATATGCCAGGCACAGTGCTGGGATACCAAGAAGAATGTGCCACAGTCCCTGCCCTTACAAAGCATGTGGTTGAATGGAAAAAAGATTCTACATGGGGTACTGACTGGCAGAACAGCAGTATCAGGCATAGGAACACAGGAGGAGGAGCACAGAGAAGGCGCTAGTTAACTGAGCCCGAGGCTGCACAGAGGCAGAAATGCTTTAATTTAGTTCGGAAAATGGCCAGTAGGTAGCCAGGTAAAAGGGTGAGGAAAGAAGTTCTACACAATAGAGACAGGATGTGAAACAAATGGAATACAGATCCAAGAAAATGTCATATTCTAAGAGAATTGGATGCAATTTAGTAGAGCAAAATTTGGGTTACACAGGCAGTTTACCTAAGGACAGATTATTTGTCCATGTATGCATTCAATTAATATTTTGAACAATTCATAGATGTTCCAGGCATACTTAAGAGGGAAAAATTACTATTAATCAGTAAAAACATCTAAATATTAGGTTTGTGTTACAGAGTAGCTTCGGTAGCAACTCCCTCCCCAGTCCCAAATCACGACTCTTTGCTCCTCTCCCTCCCAAGCGCTGCTATGGCTGAGATGACCCAACCAGAGTTATGCTTTGAGCTTGGCAGGCTGCAGAAGTAGGAAGCACAAAGCTGTGACACTGCTGTCCAACCCAGGGGCTGTTCCGATCTTCAAAGGAAGAATGATCAAACAAGAAAGGCATTACAATGAGACTGTTTTATCATACAGCAGTGACTATTGTTCTTAAACTACTGTGTTACATTTTCTTGAGTTTGGGTTTCCGGTTTTGTTTGGTTTTCATTTTTTGGTTAACATCTAGAGATGGTAACAGTTTTACCTGTCCTGTAGGTTTTGTTTTTTAACAGCGATGGTTAATATCCTGACTCCAGTTCCTGGTCCTCATGATTACTCCAGTTAACCAATCAAGAGTTGGTCACTGCCACATAGGTAGCAGCAGTCTTTAAAAGGCCTTTAAACCACCTTTAAAATTCTAATTTCATTTTCTAGCACAGGATGCTACATGTCAGAGAAAATCTAATCTTAATAGAAACTGTTGAAAGGCAAGAAATTCGTGAGGGGCACCTGTAGTTGGATATATTTGATGAATGGGTACATCTTAACCTTTTAGGTGAAATAAAATTATTTCAACACTTATAATGAAGGTTGCGACTGAGCTCTCCTTTTAATAGAAGGCCTGTTAACAGGAGGCAATTCTACCTACAATGAGAAAAACGATGGCATCCAGAACAGGCATGTATCTAAGCAGGTTTAACAAGGAACTCTCATCGGCCACTTCAGTGTTCTTATTCTTAATATTTTAACCATCCATTCACCTGTCCCCAATGATTCTCCACATATTAGAATTACCAAGGAAACTTTTTAAAAATGCTGATGCCCTATCCTTGCCCAAAGCCACTGAATACAAATTTGGGGGGTAAGACTCATGAGTTGGTAATTTTAAAAGCTCCCCGGTGATTCTAATGTAGAGCCAAAGTTCTTTTAAAAAGCATATTTTTAGCAGATTAGAAAGTACAGAATCCTTGGAATTTGGGACTTTTAACATCTAAAATCTCACCCCAAATGATGATTCTTCCTACTGTATCCCTAACAGACAATCGCCTAACCGCTACATAAAGAAAGCTAATAAAGGAAGTGCTGACAGTCTCCTAACATGGCCAGCTACATGGCTAGACACATTTCATAATTGGAGAGAGCCTCCTGCTGCTGAGGTGAGGTCTGCTGGTTCAGCCCCATCCTTTGGTCTCTACTTTCAGAACAATGCCAACTGAGCCAGTAAATAGTCACTGAGAACAAGGGCCATTCATATTCATCTTTGAAGCCCCAGCACTTAATAACAGGGCTTGGAACACAGTAGGTGCTAGTAAATATAGCAAGAAAGGAGAAAAGTATGTGTGTGTGTGTGTAAAGATCCATTTGGGGCCATTCATATTCATCTTTGAAGCCCCAGCACTTAATAACAGGGCTTGGAACACAGTAGGTGCTAGTAAATATAGCAAGAAAGGAGAAAAGTATGTGTGTGTGTGTAAAGGATCCATTTGCATGCTTTTGCAGCACACGTAATTTATAAAAATCATTATTCTATGCCTTTGGTCTATAGAAGTGAGTAGGACACATTCTCTTTGCTTGAGAAATTCATAATTGGATGGAAGAAACTTTTCTGAGCATTAAGGTGTGTCAGGCTCTCACTTAATTCTTACAGCAAAGCTAGTGTTTCATTATTCCAATTCTTTCAAAGGAGAAAACTGTGATATGCAGAGGTTAAGTGACTCACTCAGGGTGTCACAGTTCAGCAGTAGCTAAGCTGAGATGTGGAACATCTGACTGCAATTCCAGGGTGTTTCAGTGTGCCCTAGTATCCACAGCCACCAGTTAAGAAAGACACTGCTTACAGCAGTGTCCACTGCTAAGGGTTCTTCAACACAGTCTAGCCCAAAATATGTTTGTAATGCCTATCTTGGCAACAAGTGACTGACAATGCCTAGAGCCACAATCCTTTAGATGCAATTTCCAGTGCACCACTGTGTCCACCACTCCCAAATGATTTCTACTCATTAAAACGTTAAATATCAGTTGAAGTTTATCATTGCACCTTACCTACCGAGCCAGTGTAGACTTTTGGGTTTATAACCTAAGCACTAGCGCTACTGGCTAAAATTTCCCAAAAGGAAATCCTTACCTACTGTGAAAAATTTCTGACGATGAACCCAAGTGGCACTTTACATTTGAAGCAGCTCACTACTGTAGTCACGAGTGTCTATTTGAACAAACTCATTAAATGGGAATGACCTTTGGTCTGGCTATTGAAAACAGAGACCATCTATCCTCAGTTTCTGTGTGATGCATGGTCCTATCTGCCTTGTTCTATTTCCTTTAAATGAACTTGGATCACCCACTCAAATGAATGTGGCACAGGAGTTTCATATGCAAAGCAACAGCAGGCACTGACACCTTCTTGCTAGAAAACACTGTCTGTTTCAAGTCTACTCACTCTTAGCAAAAGGTTCCATGTCCTTCCTTCATCACAGTCTCTACTATGGCTCTTGTGTTTTATTTATGGAACCAAGTTTCCCCCTAATCCAGGACCCTGATTCCACCCCCTACCAACTGCTTTCCAAGTTTTTAACCTCTGGGACATGATCTCTGGCCTCTATGCTCCACCTCTAAATCTTACTTTCAGTGGTAAGAGACAGCTGACGTCATGTTCCACCTGGGCCCTTAGAATTGATCAGCCAAGTATGCCCCAACTAGTCTCCCGCCACCAGGGAAAAAAAGAGGAACGGGTCCTACCTTCAAAGTTTACTGGTAAAGGTTGAAACTGCTTATCCAAAACAACCAGAGAACATGTGGCATCAAATCCAAGCCCTCGAATTTGGTTTAAATCGATCCCTTGTACAACTTTCTGTTTTAAAAACAAACAAAAACATAAATTGTAATGCAGGTCTTCTAAGAGATTGAAAACAAGTTATGACTAGAAGAAATGAATGACAGAATAGAAAAAATATTTACAATATAAAATAGATAAAAATTCAATATCACTAAAATATCAGGATCCTATAAATTAATGAGAAAAAGACAACCAATCTAATTGGAAATTAAGCAAAGGACATGACACATCACTTCATAAAATAAAAAGAAATAATCAAAGAGCATATAAAAAGATTCCTAACTCCATCACATTTCAATAAATACAAATAAAAATATACCACTCTCTGCTTTTGTATCATAGTGGTAAGATATGGAGAAGTAAAACTTCAACATTATTCTAATGATGTAATAATTTAGTATAAATTTTGAAGAATAATTTTACAGTATTTGTTAAAATGTAAGACATGCATTACTTTTGGCTCAGCAACCCCACTCATAGGAATCTATATTAGCAAATTATTAGCATAAGTAAATAAAGTTATATGTAGATAAAGGTTAACTGTAGCACTGCTTAAAATATATTTAAAAATTAGAAACACTAACTTTTATTAAATAAATTAGGGTACATCTGTAAAATAGAATATTCTCCAACTATTAAAAAGAAAGAGGTAGAGAAATAACTTCTGGGTGTGATGGTATAAAAGGTCAGCCAGTATACTTGGCAGAATAAAAGTATAAAACTGTAAAAAAATCATCATAAAGAAACATTTGGGGGCTATAGAAATTGACCAAAGCCGCAAAACAAATTAAGAAGCATTTATTCTTGAAAAATCAAAATTGTAATTATAACATTCCCACCCAAAAACAAACAAACAAACAAACAAAAAAACTCTAGGACCAGATGTCTTCACTGGGAAATATTAAACGCTTAAGGTAAAAACAATACCATGCATATGGAAACTTGTTCAGGATGTAGTGAAGGAGGGAACATTTTCCAACAAATTTTACATGGCCAGCACTACCCTGATACCCAAGACAAAAAAAGACATCAAAAAAAGAGAAAACGACATTATAAAGCAATATCTATCATGAACATAGGTGTAAAAATCCTTAAAAATATATTAAGAAACCAAATCTTACAACATACCTGCTAGAACAGCTATAATAAAAAACACTGACAATACCAAATGTTACAAAAATGTGGAGAAAAGTGGAACCCTCGCATTGGTGGTGGGAAAAAAGTTTGGCAGTTGTTTAAACATAGCTTACCACACAACTCAGCAACTTCACACCTAGGTATCTACCCAAGAAAAATAAAAATATATGTCAACACAAAGACTGTATGTGAATATTCATGGCTGCATTCTTCATAATACCCCAAAACTGGAAACAAAACAAATATCCATCATGGTTTAACCAAATGGTTAAACAAAGTGTGGTGTATCCATACTATGGAACAGTACTCATCAAGAAAACAGCACGAACTACTGATACATGCAACATGAATGTACCTTAAAATCATTATGCTAAGTGAAAGAAGTCAGATACAAAAGAATTCATGTTGTATAATTCCATTTACATAAAATTTCTCAGAAAGAGTTAGTATAAAAAGAGAAAGCAGATAAGGAATTATTTATGACTGGGGTGGAGACTGATTGCAAACAGGCACAAGGGAACTTTTTGGGGTAACAAAAGTGTTCTAAAATTGGTTTATAGTGATTATTCACAATTGTGCAAATTTAATAAAATCATTAAACTATATATTTTAAATAGATGGATTTTATGGTATAGAAATTATGCCTCGAACTGTTAAATATTAATAAAAAGTTGAGCTATAAAAGATGAAATGGGAAGATATCCATGATATATTAGTGGAAATGGGAAGATATCCACGATATATTAGTAAGGTGAAAAACAAAAAATAATTTACAACAAACTGCTAATAGTAGCTGCCTCTGAGTGCAGAAAGACCAGTTGCAGGAGATAGGAGATTTTTCACTTTGTTACATAATTTTTAAAGTTGTAAAATAATAGATTAAATGATTAATTCTATTTTTTATTTCTCTGGTTTCCTTTTTTGAAAAAGCATGAGTGATCATAATCATTAATGTTTCCTGTTAACTTAAACATGACAATAACCTTTTAAATCCCACAAAAGTCAACCCAAAAGAGTTTATCTCCGTTTAAAATGCACAATTCTTCTTTTTTTCCCATTTTGGAATGCCAGACTTGTAATCTAGGATTCTATTTTTTACTATGTAACATGTTCCACATAAAAAGCTATATACAACTATTATAGATTTTCGACAATGAAAAGCATTAAATTTTTCACACAATTCAATAAATAATAAAATGCTACCATATATTGAACAACTACTATGTGTGTGCCAGGTGCTTTACATACATTATCTTATTTAATCCTTACAAAGCCCTCTGAAGAAACATTTAACGTTTCCATTTCATAAAAAAATAAGTGAAGGACTAGGGAGGGAAGGGGAAAGCAAGCAAGATCTAGAGGCTGAATAACTCAAACTTGCTCCTGTCACACAGCCAGGAGATGGCAAAGACAGAAATCAAACTCAGAGCCTGTGTTCTTCCTATTTCACAATACTGCTTGCCTCTGTCGTCATAGAATTTCTTGTTGCCCAAGAGACTCACTCTGTAAAGAAGACATGTGCTTTAGGGGAGAACATTTGTAGTGGCCCATGTGGCCCATCTGTGACTGCTGGCAATATCTTTGCCCCACAGCAGCAGGTGAATGTCCTATAGGCCTTTACTACACTGATCAATCTAGACTTATGAGAGTGTGAGAACTAAACCCAATTCCCAGTCAGGCAGCATGGCCTCATCACAACAAGTCACAAAGACCTAGTTTCAAAACCTAGATCCACCACTTCGGCTATATATGACTGAGGGCAGGTTACACAATTCAAGCCATTCTAATCATCCTCTTGACTTGCTGGATCATGTCTCTTTAGCATTTGTAGGCACAGCTTCCTCTGCAGGTAATGTCTCCCATCCGGACTTGGAAATCCCTGGATAGTGGTTAAGATCAATGGTGCCAGGTACAGACTGCCTGAGTTTGAAACCTGGCTCTGCCACCTAATAGTTATATGACTTTGGGAAGCCAGAAAATTAGTTTCCTTGGCTGCACAAAGCTATTACTTATACCTACATCTACCAACGATGTTATAAGAATTCAGCAAAATAAGGTATGATTAGCCCAACATTTGGCATTTGATGCACAATAAATAGTAGCCATTATTAGAATAAATTAGCAGCCTCAAATCTTCTTTGAACTTATGAGGCATCAATCAGTGAATCAACAGCCATCCCTAACATCTACCTACTATACCGTATTGGCCTCTGTGCCCACAGAGAGCAGGACTGACCCGGGCAAGCCCATCTCCTAGGCCTGCAGTTAGTCAAAGGAGGAATTGGGTGAAAAAATGCAGAAGACTCAATAAACTCAATACCACAAGGTAGTTTTCGAGTAGAAATGAACATGGGATATGGTATCAAAAGAGCACCTTCTGGTTCTAACTTTTCTCATAACCTTTCTGAGCCTCAGTTTCCTGAGAGCAAGAGATATCTCCCAAGTGAAGATCAAAGGAGTCAATTCATTTGAAAGTGCTTTGGAACCAGTAAACCTTAATAGAAAACGTAAAGGATAGAAAACCCACTCAATGCCCTATTAACTGTGTTTGTGGAACGTTTTTTTATGAACAAAGCATAGCATGCTCAGAGTGTCACGTAAACACATATAAAAATGATAGGCAAAGGAATAGTGATCAAGAAAGACTGGATAGACTCAAATTTTCCTAAGAATTATGGTGGGAGTAACCTTCCAGTAGGAGCAAAGAAAATACTATCTTCAATCTATTTCATGAATCCTCTCTGAAGATCTACAGAGTTCCATATATTAACCGTGGCCTTTCAGTCACAAAAGTTCAGTGTCTCCATTTCTAAAATGGAAACATATCACAAGGAACTGGAAGAATAAATGACACGTGTTTAAACCTGAATTCCTTGGTAGCCACTGTGATTTCCTCAGCCTTATACGAAAATGCCTTAAGATCATGCTTATCCATGAGTAACAGCACCTCACTCCACAACCCCATCCCCATCGACATCACCCCAAAACGATGTCTGTCAAGGCCATACTACCCAGAAGGCCCCTGGGACTTGATCTGCTGACCTGAGGGTTCTTTTTCATACTCTCATTAATGGAAGAAGAAAGCGGTCTAGTAAACTCGCCCCAGCAACTTGGCATCAGGGGAACTGTTCTGGCTAGAGAGAAAGCACATTGCTCTTTTAAAGAATTTCCAGAGAAGGAGATTTCTGCAGCTTCATTTGGTAACCTGGTCCATGTCTAGCAACTGTCAACTCGTAGCTATGGGGCAGCAAACAAATATTTGAGGAAGGGATTGTGTATCACTTTGTTCTGACTGTGGGAACCGGTTCAGTCCTGTATGTGTTTTAAATCAGCAGGTTCTGCCATATTGAGTGGGGAGACAATGCTTCTTAGGAACCTTCTAAACTAACAACTGCAAGGTCAGAGGCATACCTGGTATTTTCTTTAGCTCTATTTGGAGCTAGGGTCAAAGCCTGGGACCTCACAGACAGAATCCAGCCTGCAACACAGTTCTGTGCAGCTGGTCCAGTAGTCTTTTAAATCTTGACTTGAATGCTTTTGTCAGCTTTAGGGGCTTGCACGGGGTTATGCAATCCCTGATTCCCTCAGGCCCATCACTCCCTGTTGCCTACACAATTCAATTACTCACTTATTCAGTCAGCAAATGTAATCAAGCCCCTTCTAGGGTCAGGCTGTGCACTCCTCTGGGTATTTGGAAAGCAATAGAGAGTAAAATATTTTTAAAAATTTCTTGCTCTTCCGGAGGTTACAATTAAGTCAGGATAGACAACAGCTAATAAACCAAATAAATTATGTCGTGTATGTATTGTATACGTAAAAGTGGTAAGTTGTGGATCAGAAATATTGGAGAAGAAGGAGATAGCCGCTGAGGTGAAATG